CCAGGACCAAGAATACTTGCAGAAAGACTGACAATGTACGTTTATTATCAGATAAAAGTTTGGAAGAGTAGGCTTCAGACGAAAAACTCTCAGGGGGGATATAGTGGTTGTAGGCTGTAATATAAAGGACCCAGATGTGTGCAAATATCGCTGCGGGTCATCAACAAGTCACAAAACAAATGCTAGCACACTTTTTCGGCCACCGGATTAGCAGATCCTTGCCTAAAAGTGGGATAACACAGACTGAGAACACATAAAAATACTCAGGGCTAAATGCACATTTACATGAAGTGTCAAAGTTGGATTGTATCATCACAGGTTGCGACTTACCACAGAAGCCATGAGCACTGGATAATCACACGTGCATTGATTCGTAAAAATAACACCTGTACGATTGGGAATTTTCAATAGCAGCCGGAAATTCTTTCTCGTGTGCCGGTCATGTTCCCTGTTGAAGGCATCCTTGACAGCCTTCGGTATTTCCTCGCGGTCGCACTTGTGCGGCGTGCACCACACGTGAGCTACCTCTGCGCTGGAGATTGTCACCAATGTCGTGAGTTGGTGGGTCTGGTTGGCCCACCTGATAGACCATTTAGGGCATCCTCTGTCGACACAGTGCCGAATTTCAACACCTCAACCATTGCTATTAGAGTGGCAATGATCTACAAACAATACGAAAACGGTGTTAAGTGGGGTCATGATTTAGGATTACGCCTGTTAAGCACTCACCATGTTACTGTGGAGCTGGAGGGTCCGGCTAGAAATCTAATCACACCAACGAAAACAATGGCGTACTCATTTGTCATTAAATTCAATAAGAATGTAGGAGTCATTGCTGGGTAGACAAGCATGTTTAGAAAACGAACTTCGTAGCCGGCCATATTTGGTGGCACTACAAATCACTGCCACGTAAACACGTAAGCTATAAGATACAGATAGAGGCAACCCATCTTTATTTAGATTTACAAAAATTCGTCTCCTCCCACTTTTCCTATATTCTACTGATTGCCTACCAACCGATTCAACTGCTTCTGTAGTCCAAGATGAACGTACTCCCCACTGTCCACGGGGTTCACCTGCACAGTGTATGACGACCCCCAAAGCGTTCGAGGGCCTGCGGCAGCTGGTAGCCTTCTCACCTAAGTATACCTAACAGACTCCGTAGATGGCTATGGAATATATTGCAGCCCAAAGCCCACTCGCGTAATCTACTTCTATATCACAGATGCCTTGGCTGATAGTCAATGAAACTGTCAAATCAATTATTATGCACTGAACGTAATGCAGGCAAATTAACAAAACCATTTTAGAAGGAATATAAAAAAAACGGTATCACTGCAGAGACACAAGGTATTCACGAACAGTAATAGGCATCCGTAAACACGCCACTCACCACAGAGGAATTAGCGAAGGTAAAGGGCCGCCAAATGAGTCATTTAAACAAACCTATAGTATTGTCAACATGTTTCATGTTTCATCAATAGAGGGTAGGGAACGGATCCGTGTAAACC